TGTTTTGGGCCCTCTAGACTTTGGGGTCATTTGTTGCTGTTATCCTAACTGATACACAACCCATCCACACCACCTGGCTCCAGCCAAGGGCTCTATATTAGTTTGCTGGGACTGCCATAACAAAGGACCACAGATGGGGGGAGTGTGGGGGGCGTGTGGCATAGAAATGTATTTTCTCCCAGTTCTGGAGGCAGACGTTTGAGATCAAGGAGTTAACAGAGTTGGTTCCTTACCAGCTGTGGGGGAGACTGTCCCATGCCTCTTTCCTAGCTGCTGGTGCTCTTGGCATTTGGTGGTACAAACGTGATGTTCTTCCCGTCTTCCCAGTGTGTGTGTGTGTGTGTGTGTGTGTGTGTGTGTGTGAACAAGCTTCCTCTGTGTATCAGGATACCAGTCATGGTGGATTAGGAACCCCCACAAAGACCTACTCACCTCTTTAAAGACCCTCTGCCTGTAGAGTCACATTCTGAGTGCTGGGGCTTAAGACTTCAACATATGAGTTGAGGGGCACAATCCAGGTCATAACAGACTCCATGCCAATTCCAGTGTGCCAGGGTCCCTTCCTGCCAGGATAAGTGAAGGCTGGTGCCAGTCTAAGTGGGTGAGACTTGGGACACTTCGGCAGTAGGTCCAGGGAGGACTTCTTCCCTGGGGATCAGGATCAGTGCTGCTCGCAGGACTACAGGCTACGGCGGGAACCTCAACAAGCCCCACCCTGGGAACAGCACGGGACGGTGAGTAAGCTAACGGACATGAACCCTGGCTCCATCTCCCAGCAACTGTGCACCTTAGACCCCCTCTGAGCCCCCGTTTCCCCTTCCGGAGACCATAACGTGTTCTCCTTAGAGCTACTATGAGAAACCAGAGAGAATATGCCTGCTCTATGGCAATCCGGCCGTAATCAGTTCCCTCTGCTATTGCTGCTGGGGGAGCTCACAGGTGCTGAAAAGAAAGGGGAAATTGCCCGGCCAGTGTGGCTCAGGGGCTGAGTGTTGACCCAGGAGATCACGGTTTGATTCCCGGTCAGGGCACATGCCCAGGTTTTGGGCTTGAACCTCAGTAGGGGTGTGCAGGAGATAGCCAATCAATGATTCTCTCATTATTGTTCCTATCCCTCTCTCTCTCTCCCTTCCTCTCTCTGAAATCAATTTTTAAAAATACTAAAAGAGCCAAAACTGGTTTGGCTCAGTGGATAGAGCGTCGGTCTGCGGACTGAGTGGTCCCGGGTTCGATTCCAGGCAAGGGCATGTACCTTGGTTGCGGGCACATCCCCAGTAGGGAGAGTGCAAGAGGCAGCTGATCGATGATTCTCTCTCATCAATGTTTCTAACTTCCTATCCCTCTCTCTTCCTCTCTGTAAAAAAAAAAAAAATCAATAAAATATATATTAAAAAAAAGAGTACATCTCATATTCAACATTTAAAAAACAAATAAATAAAATAAAAAATACTAAAAGAAAGGGGAAGTCAATGTGGTTTCAGTGTGGTTCCAAGGGCGTGGGAGACATCTCAGGCATTTTTTCTTTGTCTTCAGGGTTTGATCTCATTCAACAAACATTGGCTGCACACCTACTAAGAGCAGGTTTCTTTCTCACATCAATGTTTCGCTCTCCTCTCTCTCTCCTCTCCTATACCCCTCCCTTCCATGCTCTCTAAAAATCAATGGAAAAATATCTTCACTTCTTGGATGAGGGAAGAAAAGAAAAGGCATTTCCCAGGCAGCACGTAGTGTGTGCGAGGCACTCTGCCCGGCATGGGGTGGGGGCGTAGAGGCGTTTGCAGCCGCAGGCAAAACCTCAGACAAGTGCTGTGCAGACCGCGCAAGAGGGTCTGTAGAGAGATAGTGAGATGGCTGTGGAGAGACTGTTATGTGGAGGCCAGGACAGTGAGGGTGGGCGTCGGAGATGCAGAGTCTGAAGAGGTGCTGGGAGAACAGGCTTACTTAGTAGCTGCTCAGAGCAAAGGATTTCAGGGCGCATCTCTGACGTTTGGGGGAGCAGAAGGGATTCTGGTGCACTCTGGTCAGTGTGGCTCAGTCGGCTGGAGCATTGCCCTGTGCACTAAAGGTTGTGGCTTTGATTCCTGGTCAGGGCACATATCCAGGCAGCTGGTCCTGGCGTGTGTGGGAGACAACTGACCGAAGTTTCTGTCACAGCAATGTCTCCTGCATGCGTGTCCCCCTTCTGCGCACCCCTTTCTCCCTCCGCAACCAATGAAAACATGTCCTCGTATGAGGACTGAGGGGGAGGCAGAGGGGCCTTGCGAGCTGGCAGTGTCCCTGCTGGTGGTGGCGCCGACACCTGAGACCAGCTCCCCGAAGGGAGAGGTCGTTAATTCAACTTTCTGCCTCCAACTGTAAGGGAAGAAAGTGTGTTGCTATTGAAGCCTCCAAGTTTGTGGTCACTAGTTACAGAGCGTAAGAAACTCATACGGGAGCCAAACCTCAGAAAGGCCAGGTCTTTTGCTGGCAAAATCGGGGAATTGGAAGAAACAGGCATTCAAATCGGGTGGTTTGATCCAGGGTCAACTGTGTCCCTCCCACCCAATTCATATTGAAGTCCTAGTCCTCAGAGCTTCAGAATGTGAGAGCTTTGGAGACAGAGTGCTTAACAGGGTCATTAAGTAAAAAGTGAGCCTGTGCCCTAGCCGGTTTGGCTCAGTGGATAGAGCGTTGGCCTGTGGACTCGAGGGTCCCGGGTTCGATTCTGGTCAAGGGCACATGCCTGGGTTGCAGCCTTGGTTCCACGTGCAGGAGGCAGCCAATCAGTGATTTCCTCTCATCATTGATGTTTCTCTCTCCTTTCCTCCCTGAAGTCAACAAGAATATATATATATATTTAAAAATGAGCCTGTTACGGTGGGCCCTGACACACCTAACGGGTGTCCTTAAGAAGAGGTTGAGACAGACACAGAGGGAAGGCCGTGTGGGGACACAGGGACAAAGTGCGTCCACAGGCCAAGTGGAACCAGCCCTGCAGGCACCTTGATGGCAGACCCTCGGCCCACAGAACCGGGATAACAAATCTCCTAGCCCCCAGCTGCGGTGCTCTGCATGGTAGCTGGGACTCTGGGACGCTCCAGCCCCTCTTGAGCTCAACCCAAACCCCCCTTGAAGAGCAGTACCCCAAAAGCAATCACCAGAATTAGGAAGGAAGGAAGCCCACCCCACCCAGCAGGTTTGAATTGCCAGCCTAGTTCAAGGCTTAGAGGGGATGTAGAGACAGAACACACACAGTAGGACCAACACACAGCCCCATGGCTTTTCTCACCGGCTTTCTCTCCTCACAGGTCAGCCTCCACCATTGTCCTGACACCTCAGACGTGCTCCTGGCACAGCTGTCTCCTAAGGGCCTGTTCCCAAATGCCCAGAGCCCCTGCCAGCACCCACCCCCCATGGTCCCTTCAGCTCCTCAAACTCAACAAGTTCTAAACGGAGTCCGCCATCTTTCCCGCCACTCCTTTCCCCTCATCCTGCCTCAGTAGACGTCTCCCGTCATCTGTGCAATCTCCTTGGCACCCCCAACCGCCCTCCCACTGCCCACTAGTCTCTGCGTCCCGACAAATGTTATTGGAATGTCTCCTGGGCATTGTCTCTCCTCACCATCCCCACGTCCGCTCCCTAATTTAGGCCTCCTTGTCTCTCCCTGGTCTCTGGCCTCCAGCCTTGAACCCCCAAACCCAGCCCGGCTGGCAGGATCAGTAACAGAAACGCCTGAGAGGCGGATGCTATCAGCACCCCCACCTCACAGGTGGAGCAACCGAGGCCCCAAGGCCAGACTGGATTTCACGTAAGGCAGTTTGGCTCCACACTCGTAAGCTCTTAACCGACCCGCCAGGACAGTGGGCAAGAGTGCACAGTAGGGATGGCTCATTCTGTGTGACCTCAGCTGAGCACACAGTAGGGACAATGTCTGGGAAACAGAATAAAGTCATTGAACCCTGTGCCTGTGTGTACCCGTATGTGTACATGTGCAAGCACATGGTGTGTCTCTCAGGAACCAGGCTCAGCAGTGCACATGATAGGAACATACAGAAAACTTGGAGGACCTGCACACAGTATGACCAGCCCAGGGGCGGGAGAATGAGTGGTGTCAGGACGGGCACCGGGACATCTGGGATCCCTGGGGCGGGCATGCAGCATCTGGAGGCAGTGGGGCTCCAGGTGGGTCTGGGATGGCTCGCCCAGCTCATGGAGCTCAGCCTGAGCGGGGGGAGTGGTCACTGTGACAAGCTCCAGCCCAGCCGTCCTAAGCATGGAAGGTGGGGTGAGATCCCCTGAACCCAAGAATGACATGGCCTCCTCCGAGAACGGAAGGTTTATTGGGACTGATGGGTCAAGGTCATCAGTGTAGTGCCGCCCTCTCGGAGGGGCAGCAGTCCAGTGTGTGGGCCCTGGAGGTCCCGGGAGACGGAGGTCCCGGGAGCCCGGAGGTCAGGGAGACGGGAGGTCACAGAGATGGGAGGTCACGGAGGCCGGAGGTCAGGGAGATGGGAGGTCAGGGAGACGGGAGGTCAGGGAGACTGGAGGTCACGGAGAACGGAGGTCAGGGAGACTGGAGGTCACGAGAGCCCGGAGGTCACGGAGACGGGAGGTCACGGAGGCCGGAGGTCACGGAGACCGGAGGTCAGGGAGGCCGGAGGTCAGGGAGGCCGGAGGTCAGGGAGATGGGAGGTCAGGGAGACCGGAGGTCACGGAGACCAGAGGTAAGGGAGACCGGAGGTCAGGGAGCTGGAGGTCACGGAGACCGGAGGTCACGGAGACCGGAAGTCAGGGAGACCGGAGGTCAGGGAGACCGGAGGTCAGGGAGACGTGAGGTCAGGGAGACGGGAGGTCAGGGAGATGGGAGGTCAGGGAGACCGGAGGTCACGGAGGCCGGAGGTCAGGGAGCCGGAGGTCAGGGAGACCGGAGGTCACGGAGGCCGGAGGTCAGGGGGCCGGAGGTCACGGAGACCGGAGGTCACAGGCACAGCAGCAGGCAGGGGGTCGGCCCCCTCGGGTCCTCAGGTGTCCGGGGGCGAGCTGGCAGCGTCCTGCGGCAGGCCGCGCCGGTGCCTGAGAACCGACTTGTCATCCTCCTGCGGACGGGAGCCCACGTCACACCGACAGGCCGGGCAGGTCACGCAGCACAACCCGGGCCATCGCCGGGCGGTCGCTCACCATCTCAGAGGCGGTGCTGGGGCTGGCGCCCTCGGGAGAGCCCCCCTCGTCCCGGGAGCAGTCAGGGCCTGCGTCCTCCTCGTACTCCGTCAGGCAGTCCGACTCTTCCCCTAGAAGCGGGAGCTGCCAGTGAGGGCCATGGCGGGCGGGCACTTCCGGCCACTTCCCGCCCCGCCTGGAGGCGCCCTCACCATCAGCACAGCCATCGGAGACGTAGGTGGTGGGCGGCTCGATCCGGGACACGATCTCCGCCAAGTCCGTGAAGCCGGAACTGGGGAAGGCCAGCACCTGTGGGTGACGTGGGTGAGGGCCGCAGGCTCCGTGCGTCCTGGGCATTGGGGACACATCCTGAGGGGCGTTCTCTGGTCGGGGAGCTGAGAAACCAGGGAGACCTGGGGACACCTGCGGTTTGGGAGGCCCCGAGGGGCTGGGGGAGCCCCGGCTTACGTCCGCCCGGCGGCTCTCAATGAGGTCAGCAGACCGCCGGTCTGTGAGCATCTTCTCGATGACGTCGCCCCGGGTCCAGCCCCCGAACACAGCCTTCCCGTACTGGTACCCCACGTCCTGCAGGGAGGGAGGGGACGGGCCATCCACGCTGAGACTCCCCCGATGTTCTCCGCCTGGTCCTCTCCGCTGCGTCCCACGCTGCCTGCCCCAGGCCGGGCCCCTCAAAAGCCTGCTGCTTTGGGGCACTAGCATTTGAGGCTAACCCTATTTTGGAGTCAGCCATATGTAGCATCCCTGGCCCATGTCCCCCATCCTGTGCCCCTGCCAGACATTACCAATCCATCATTTCACGATCTTTCCCCAAATCCCCATGCAGAGGGGCATGTGCCACAATGACTTGAGATGGTGGTGGCAACCTTATTTCAAGTTCTCCAAATATGCAGTTCGGGTGTGGACATCGCCAGCTCCCCTACCCACAGACACCGCTAACCCACCAGGGCACTTTCCCATCAGCCCGGGAAGAGCATCGGACATTTTCCACGCAGGTCCCTGGGCAACGGCACATTTCTCAGGGCCAGTGGCGCATGACACACACACTGCTCCTTCCCTCGCAGACAGTACTAGTTGATCACTAATGCAGAAATGCCCACCAGTGCAGAAATCTCTGCACAGTGCTCCCGGTAGTGCAGCTGGCACGTAAGCAGCTTAGTTCATACACAGCATGTGGGCAGCATGTCCCATGGCCACGTCCAGACAGACATCACTAATTGATGACTGTTCTATTCCCCGCAGTTCCCATCGGGGAGGGAGCCCTCGAACCCTTCCCCTCGTGCCGCTCTGGGCGTTCAGCAGTAAAGCTCTGCCAGCCCTCACCCGCCAGGCACTCCCCCCCACTCACATAGATCTGGTCGAACTTCCCGAAGTCCATGGTCTTGAAGCAGTCGATGGGGGGGCGCAGGTACTCGCAGTAGGAGCTGGTCTTGACCACCTCCAGCTGGCGTACGCAGGACACGTAGGCCAGGCGGGACTGGATCTCAGCCATGTCTGGAACCTTGATCTTATCTGCCCAAGGGTTTAGCCGCTTCCACAGCAGCCACCAGCCAGACAGGCTGTCCCCGTAGGTGCTGAGGTCCGTCTCGTCCTGGCTCCCGACGTCAATGGCAATGACCGTCTTGGCACCCATGCTGCGGGCGATGTCCGCTGTAGGGCCGGGGGGTCAGCGGGTGGCCCCCCACCAGGGCCCAGAGCAGAAAAGTTCAACCCAGTCCCACAGGCACCATCATGCAATGTCACGCAAAACAACCCGTGCAAACAGCATGTTGGCATGCAAATGGCATGGAAAGTGATGCCCATGATGGGGAGGAGACAGGGTCAGAGGTCGGAGCTTCTGGAAGTGAGGAGCCACGCCAGAGGGATGTGGGGGTTGGGGACAGAGGGATAAAATTGCTGGGGAAAAGGCAGGACAGGGAAATGGGAGGAGGGTGATGTAGCGACAGAGCCATAAGGAGACCTGGAGGCAGAGATGCAAGAAGTAAAGACCAGGAGACGGGCCACAGGGAGAAATGCAGGGAAGCAGAATCAGCAGAGGTGTGGGGAGGAGAAAGAGAGCAGGGTTAGGGAAATGGAAGAGAGACTCTGGGGCTGTGACAAGGGACAGAGAGCCAGGAGCAGGGAAGCAGGACAGAGGAGGTGATGGGGGAGGGCCCAGCAGGGAGGGTGGTGGGTCTGTGGGTCCACGTGGCCCACTGAGGGTCCCTGAGGGCCTGGGGAACCTGGGGGGATAGGGACAGGGTCCTATAACCACACTCAGCCCAGAAAAGAGAGTCTCTGTCAGACTTCCCATGTGTCCCTCAGAGCTGGTTTATATGTCTGAGTACACTGTCTGTGTACATCTCCTCTCCATGTGTCTCTGTGAACACACACGCTCTGGACATGCCTGCATCCCTGTACACATCTCTGGGCATGTCTGTATTCATTTGAGTCATCGTGTACCTACATCAACATCAACGTCTGTGCTTCCTTATGCATCCAAGCATGCCTACCCACCCATGGGTTTATACCCACGTGAAGTGTGTGGTGATGTTAGTGCAGGTACATGTACAGAGCACCTAAACAAGAGTTGGCAAATTTTTTCTGGAAACGGCCAAGAAAATGATTTCAGCTCTGCAGGCCACATGATCTGTGTCACAACTACCAACTACACTATTATGGCAAGAAAGCAGCCACAGACAATGAGTAAATGACTGGGTGTGATTGCGTGTCAATAAGATTTTATTGACAAAATCAGGCAGGGGCCGGATTTGACCTTCAGGGCAGAGTTTGCCAAGGCCTGCCATACAGGACTGCAAGCATGTGTGCGCAGCCAGTGAAGGTATACTCTGTATGCACATGTCCAGGCAGGTAAAATTTTCAATTGCAAACCGGCCTGCCTCTTATCTGCACAGTCAGAGGGGGTGAAAGGACACCTGACTTGGTCTCGCAGGTGCCCCGCCTACCTCAGTGTGTACACTTATGTACGTCTTAGAAAGCATGAGTGTGGATAGACAGGTGTGTGAGGACATGTACCCAATTTCATTAATGCATGTGTTCTTATCCGTGCACGTGCACCTAACCTTGTGCACATGAGCACCCTACCTGCCTTCCGAGCGGCTGTGACAATGTGCCAGTGAGCAGATGCAGTAAAGATGTCCCGTTCTATCCCACGTCCGGTGCTGTGTGTACACGTCTGTGTGCATTCACCTGCATCTTACATATGGGTCCACTTTCCACCTGCACATTCCTGTCCTCCGCTCATCCACATATCTGCTCATGCATCTAAGTGTGTGCATGCCCAGTGCCCTGCGCAGGTCTGCTTGCACACATGTCCTCCTGGGCGCCTGTCTGCGTGTATGCCTGTGCACGGGCCCACTCGCTCACTATGTGCCTGTGTGCACGCGTGTGCACATGAGCGAGCGGGCAGCCACTTGCCTGGCAGGTTGTTGATGTAGCCGCCGTCCATGAGGAGGTGCCCGTCCTTGGGGTCGCAGAGCGGGGGCAGGTAGCCCGAGAGCGTCATGCTGGCGCGCACGTATCGCCATAGGGAGCCTGCCCAGTGGGACACACAGACACAGACACGCACAGACACTCTCAGACACGCTCAGAGGCCCGGCCAGCCTGGTGGGCTCGCTGACCTGGCACGTTGTTGACGTAGCACCCGTCCACCAGCAGGTGCCCGTCCTTGGGGTCGCAGAGCGGGGGCAGGTAGGGGCAGTAGGAGGCACTGGCCCGGACGTAGCGCCACACGCAGCCTGCAGGGATGGCGTGAGGGGGTGAGGTGCCTGACTGCTTCCCGGGCCCCACCCTGAGGACACACATACCTGGGGCTCTGGGGCATTAGTGGGTGATGGTTAGTGCTGGCAATCAGGTCAGGATGACGGTCACTCGTGTTAACAGTGTCCCGGACACCTGGCTGCCCTGCCTGCCCCCCTCCCCAGGTGGCCACCGATGCCGTGGGGCCGGCCGGGCACCCACCGTCCTTGTGCACACGCATGGCCGAGGCAGTGATGTCCGTGGTCACGTTGAAGTATGGCAGCCACAGGTCCTATGAGGACAAGGACCAAGGTTGGGGAGGAGCGGGACCCCGGCGGACAGGGGCAGGACGGGGGGAGGGGGGGTGCGCACCTCAATCTGCTTGTCCTGGAAGACGCGGTGGACGCTGCGGTTGAAGGCGGACCCCGTGAACATGGAGGTGGCGGGGTATGTCAGGTCCAGCATGGGCTCCAGCACGGAAGTCATGCTCTAGGGGCAAGGGGCCAGCGGGGGTGAGACAGGAATCACTTGGGGTCACTGACAAGTGGTCACTAAGAATGCGGATTGCTCAATGGGGACGGGGGGCTGAGGTCAGTAGCCAACATGTGAGGGGCTCACCCACAGTCCCGAAGATATTCCGTTAAGTGTCCACAAATTAAACCAGAGCCCACATGGGATCCTGTTTTAGGGTGTTCTGGGGTGGGGAGGTCCCCCAACACACACCTTGGCCCACTCGCGGGCCCGCTGCTTAGTTCGGCTGGCACTCCGCTCCTCGGCATACAGGGCCCCGATGAAGGAGCCGATGGAAGTGCCGCCCACTAGGTCCACAGGGACCCCCGCCTCTTCCAGTGCCTTCAGCACCCCGATGTGAGAGCAGCCCCTGCAGGAAGAGGAGCCTGGTGACATGCTGGGAACCCCTTTGGCTGCACCCCAGGAGGGTCCCTTCTCCAACTCCCCCACTGGCCAGGAACAAGGTGCCAGCCCCACCCCATGGGATCTCACCCCAGTAAGCTCCACCCTCGGGCTCCGCCCCCGCCAGTGCTGGCCACACCCTCACTGGCTCCACCCCCAGTGCAGGCCACACCCCTACTGGCTCCACCCCAGTGCAGGCCACACCCTTACTGGCTCCGCCCCTGCCGGTGCTAGCCACCCCCACCTGGCTCCGCCCCCACCAATGCTGGCCACACCCCTCACTGGCCCCACCCCCGCCAGTGCTGGCCACACCCCCACCTGGCTCCACCCTCACCAATGCTGGCCACACCCCTCATCTGGCCCCACCCCCATGCTAGCCACACCCTCACCTGGCTCCGCCCCCTGCCAGTGCTGGCCACACCCCTCACCCGGCTCCGCCCCCACCAATACTGGCCACACCACTCACCTGGCCCCGCCCCCATTCTGGCCACACCTCTCACCTGGCCCACCCCCGCCAGTGCTGGCCACACCCCTCACTGGCTCCGCCCCCAACAGTGCTGGCCACACCCTCACTGGCTCCACCCCCGCCAGTGTTGGCCACACCCTCACCTGGCTCCACCCCCGCCCAGCACCAGGGCGATGGTGTTGCCGGTGAGCACGCGCGCCAGGCGGGAGAAGTCGCTGTGCCGGTCCACACGCCGCGAGAACACCTTCTCGTACAGCTCGTGCTGGGATGGGAACAGAGACACGGTAGCAGGGGGTGTAGGGGGAGCATCTGGTCTCCGCAGGCCCCTCGGCCACACCCCCGCAGCCACCCCCAGCTCGGGCTGAAGAGGGACCTTCTCTGTGGACCCGCCTCACCAGCTTGGCAGGACTGCGGCGCGAGAAGAGGCGGCGCGGGCAGCGCAGGTGCAGGTGCCCGGAGCACCAGCTGCGCATGTTGAGCCACTCCACGGTGCGCGCGGGGCCTGGGCCCTCCTCCCGGTGCAGCAGCACCAGCTGCTTGAGGGCGCGCACCGCCGTGTTCTCCAGCATCTGCTCCAGCTGCAGGAGAGCCGGGGCGGTGTCACCGTCACCAATGGCTCAGGTCCCTGAGTTAGCTCGCCCCCCAGCGAGGGGGCCTGAGGCCTTGGTGCAAGCACTGGAGGGGAGGGGGCGGGTCCGGGAGCGGGATCGCCGTGGATGGCCTCCTGACCTGGCCAAGCGTGGGCTCCTGGTCGCCCAGGCCCACGATGAGGATGCAGTCGGCCTGGCGCAGGCAGCGCACCGTCCAGGGCGTCAGCGAGGCGTCCGTCTGGTAGAGCACGATGCGGTGCGTGTCCTCCTGCTGGGCCAGCCACCCCGACAGCCGGAACTCCTGGATGCTGGGGGGAGGGGGCGATCATCCTGGGGCAGGTCAGAGACCACCCCAACTCCACTGCTGGGGGGACTCAGACACTGGGCTCCCACACGCGTCCTGCCAGGGGCGGATTTGTCCCACTAACTAGACAGACAGGTGGGGCGCATGCTCCCAGCCCACAGCCAGATCTGAAACTGCATCTGAGAGAACCCTACACTCAAGTCCATCCCTCACACCCCACTCCTGCACCAGCACACACCTGTCCAGTGCAGAGGCGCCCAGGCGTGCCCGGATGATGTCACTGTTGAGGAGGAGTGTGGGGCCTGGGATGGGTAAGGAAGAGAGGTTAGGCCCCTCCCAGAACAGAATATCCCACCCCACTCCTGTGGCCTGTTCTGCCCACCCCCATGGGCCCAGTGGGCACCTCCACTCACTGGTCAGTGCCCCCCATGTGCCGTGCCCCGCAGACCCCACTGACCGATGGCCTGCAGGGCGTGCTGGAGCTCCAGGGTGAAGGCCACCATGGGCACCTCCGCGCACACAGGCAGGACTGCCACCGTGGCCAGGTTGCTGGCTGGGTTGGTGAGTTCCGAGTGAGGGGGGACGCCCAGTCCCGAGCCTGCTGAGACCCCAAAGGATGAAATCTGTTGTGCAGCCGTGTCCAAGAGGAAGGCCCTCCTCCTCCTCCTCCTCAGCACCCTGCCCCATGTCTGCAGCTGAGCTTAGTGAGACCAGTGAGAAGCCTGAGCCACACGTGACAGGACTCGGCCAACCTTCAATTATGGCTCTAACGTCCTCAATGGCACCCACAGCGCCGGCATGCACCCATCGGTGCCCGCCCCAGGCTGGCTTGGGTGTCTCTGTCCGCTGAAGGGACTTGAACACAAAACTAAGCAGAAACAAACACCTTTGGCCCATCTACTGCTTCCCCCGTCCCCACGCACACCCTCACTCCCGCCAGCCGCCGGGTGCGGAGCCTCTGCCGCCAGCCGCTTCCCACACCCTGAGCAGCTCGGACGCTTTCCCAGGCCCCAGCCCTGTGCGACCTGCCCTGCCGACCGCCCCATCCCTCACTGTCCTCCAAGCATTTCAGAACCTCCAGACCGGTGCAGAGCCTCCAAAGCCCTCTTCGTTTATCAAGCCTCAGCTCCTGTCCTCTGAGAAGCTAGTCCCCTCGACCCAGACCCTCCTGTGCGGTCTGCACAGCACTTGTCTGAGGTTCGCCTGTGGCTGTAAACCCCTCTAGGGCCTGCTGAACTGGGTATAGAGCCTCGCACACACTACGCGCACCCTGGAATATGCCTTTTCTGCTTTGTTTTCCCCTCACTGGAGGACTGGAGGTGTTTATTCCATTGATTTTTAGAGAGTAGTAGAAAGGGTGTAAGAGGGAAAGAACGAGAGAGAGAGGAGAGAAACATCAATGAGAGAGAGTGTGTGTGTGTGTGTGTGTGTGTGTGTTTGTGAGAGAGAGAGAGAGAGGGAGAGACATTGATTGGTTGCCTTCCATTCTCCTCCTGTCAGGGGTGGGGGATTGAACTGCACATCGGGGACTGGTGCTTTAACCACTGAGCAAATTGGCCAGAGCAAAAATGCCTTTTCTATAGAGCAGCGTTTCCCAAACTTTTGACATATATGTACCCCTTCTATAATTTTTGTAACGCTGAGTACCCCTCGTACTCATGAGAACGTAGAATTGGGAGCAGCTAAGCACGGTGCAGTGCATATCCCCACCAAACTCTTCCCGTACCCCTGGGGGTACGCGGACCACACTTTGGGAACACTGCTATAGAGCATCAGCAGAGAGGCTCTTGAAAGCTCAAAATCTTAACGTCCCAGGATCACGTCAAGGATGGCTCGGCATTTGTCTACAGTGTGTACCACACACAAGTCAGGGCTGTGGGGGAGGGGGCATCTGACCACAGGCATGAGGCGCTTTTGGCCACTGCTCACCACTGCCGCCACCCGGGGGGGCCGAGTCAAGGCTGATGGGGCGGAAGCCCCTGGGTAAAGGGAGGCAAAGAGGTTGCTAGTCTCAGTCCCATATTTACACAGAGTCCACATCCAACTGCATTTCCCAGGCCTCCCTAGTTCATGGAAATCACATCTCCCAGCGCCCAGAGGCCCCATCTCAACCTCCCTGGGGGGGGGGAGGCTGGGGGGGGGGGGGGAGGAACGCCACCCAGGAACTCCATTTCCCAGCATTCCCTGTTCTCCATCCTTCAGTCAAGTTCTGCCTCCTGGAATGAAGCTCGCCCCTAAAACTCTGCCCCCTCAACAGAAGTGACATTTTAGATCCCATAAGCAAGTAGCCCGGAGTGCGACTCCATTCCCGGCATGCCCAGGCACCCAACTCCCTCCGACGGCACAGGCCGGAGCTCCAACCCTCCTGGACTTGGTTTCCCAGCATGTCCCGGGGCAGGGCTGCTCCCCAGCAAGTCCTAAGTGTCCACTACATCCTCCCCGCCCCCCCCCCCCCCCCCAGCACCTGGGCACCTGCCGGGTCTCACCTGGGAAAGGCCCTTGCAGCTGCTGCAAATTCCCCAGGATTTTCTGGCTCAGCAGGTGGATGAGGCGCGTCACAACCTGGGCGTTGAGATCGGGGTCCAGCGGGACTGGAGGCACCTCGCCCTCGGATTCCTCCCGCCTCCCCTTCCCCGCGTTAGGCCCCGCCCCGGAGGAGGGGCCGCACCTGCGGGTAGCGGCGCTTGATGTGGCCCAGGGTGCCCTCGGGCAGCTTGGCCAGCTCCGTGTCCCGCACGGCGTGCACCGTGGTGGCGCGCGGCTGCCGCGTCAGCGCCTCCACCTGGGGGAGCCGGGCATGACCAGAGGCGCTGGGCAGGGGCTCCGAATGGGCAGAATGGGTAAGGGGGGGCCCCCCTCTCCCCTCCCCTCCCCTCTCCTCCCCTCCAAGAGGCAGCGCTCCACTCAGTGGCCCCACTGCGGGTGGAAGGAACCCAGCCTTCAGGGCCCGGAGAGGGAGCACAGGGGTCCGGGAGGGGGGCTGATGGGAGAGGTCGGGGCAGGTGCAGGTCCGTCACCTTCCCAATGAGGCCCCACCCCCGCCACGGAAGGCGCCGGGAGAAAGGGAGCGGGAGGTCAGGTGTCCACCGCGGTCAGATTGTGTCTGTTGTGGATGTTGGGGGATGTTGGGAGATGGTGTGTGTGGGGGGGGGGGCGGGGAGAAGACTGGCCTGGGGGAGGGCAGAGGTCAGGGGTGTGGCCCGCTCACCACTCCGACGAGGTCCCCGCGGCCGTACTCGCCCACCAGCTCCTTCTTGCCGCTGCCGCGCTGGATGACGCTGCGCAGCCGCCCGTTGAGCACGATGTAGGTGCAGTCGGAGCGGTCGCCCTGCCTGGGGTGGGCAGTGGTCACACAGGGTGCAGCCAGGGCGGAGGGCCCGGTGGGGTGGGAAGGGTGGGGGGACCCGCACCTGTACAGCGCTCGGCCAGCCTCCACGGCCGTCCAGTCGATGGCAAAGTCCATCTGGCGCACGAAGGGCGACATCCTCGCGGCCACCGTGTGCGCCGCACTCAGCACCACGCTGGGCTGGGCGCGCATGATCCTGCGGGGCAGACAGGCAGGCCGCATGGCTGGGGGTCCTGGAACTGCCCTGAGCGAGTGGGCGGAGGGTGACGGCCGGAGGAGGGGCGGAAGGGTGTAAGCCTTCGGAGGGCAGCCTCTCCCATGGCAGGGGAGCCAGGGCCCCCGAGGGCCAGTCCCCCCACATGGGCCCCGTCGTACTCATAGAAGTCGCCCTTGGAGATCCGCAGGAACGTGCAGTCGCGCTGGGCTCGCAGCGTGAAGATGAGGGGCTCCCCCGTGAGCACCGCCAGCTGCCCCACCAGCTCGCCGGGCTGGGCCACGAACAGGCACACGTCCTCGGCCTTGTCGATCATGCGCTGGTAGACGTGCAGGCAGCCCCAGAGCACAAAGTGCAGGCTCACATCCTAGGGCAGGCACCAGGAGATGGGCACAGGGCCAGCACTTGCACCCCAACTCAGTCCATTCACTCCAAAGGAAGCAGCGGAGGGAGTGAGGGCTTTGCATAGCTCCACGAGCAGCATATTATTCGGCACTCAGGGCAGACATTGCTGCTGATGGATCACCAAACTCTTAAACCCAGATTATGGCCCATGAATTATTTCCAACACAGCCAGCAAGAGGCTGCGACGATTGGCTACCCAGGGGGTGTGGCTTAAATCCTCTTCGCTCATCTGGGCAATTGGGTAGCCACATGGAAGAATAAAGTTGGATCTTCACCTTACATCGTATCAAAATGGATTAAAAACATGAATGTAAGAATTAAAGCTATAAGACTCTTCAAGGAAAATACAGGGGTCCATCTTCATGACCTTGAATTTGATAGTGGATTCTTGTTGCATAACCAACAAAATAAATCAAAACTTTTGAACTTCAAAACAAAACAAAAAAAACTTTTGAACTTCAAAGGACACTACCAAGATAGAATGGGGGAACATATTTGCAAATTATATTGCCTGCTAAGGGTCTTGAATTTTGAATATATACAGAAATCGTATAACTCAAATAAAATAAATAACCCAATTTAAAAATGGACACAGGATCTGAATAGACACCTCTCCAAGAGATATAAGCACATGAAAAGATCATAACTCATTAGGGAAATGCAAATCAAAACCAAAATGAGATGCCACTTCACACTCACTAGGATCAAAAAATGTTCAAGAGAATGTGGAGAAACAGGACCTCACACACTGCCCGGCGGGCGGGTGCTCAGAGGGTTAAAGGCAGAGCTGCCCTCGGACCCAGCAGTGACTCCTCGGTATCTACCAACAGAAATGAAACTACGTCCACATGGAAACTTGTGCATCAAATAGCCAAAAGGCAGAGAATAACCCAGATGTACATCGACAGATGAACGGGGCAGAGAAGGGCTGAATGTCCACTCGGTAAAGTATTATCAGACATAGGAGTGAAGCACAAACACGTGCTTCAACAGGATTGAACCTTGAAAACATGATGCTCAGTTGGAAGCCAAACACAGAAGGCCACATAGCATGTGGCTCCACTGATATGAAATGTCCAGGACAGGCAACTACGTAGAAATAAGACGAGAGCTGTTTAGGGCATGGGGACGGGTACGTCAGGAGGCAGGAGGCTGATAGCTAAAGTGGGTGGGATTGCTTTTCAAGGTGACAAAAATGTTCTAAAATGGATTGTGCAACTCTGAGTATACTAAAAACCACTCTTTAAATGGGCGGACTGCATAGTATGCGAATTACATCTCAATAAAACTATCACAAAAAGTAGAAAATGCCCTCTGTTCCCCGTCCCCTTGTCCCCCGCCATGCCTGTTGACGTCCTAGTTTTCTAGAAAACGACGCATTACTTCTCCCCACGGGAAGCAATTGGCAGAAGCTGTTCCCTCTGCCTAGAATGCCCTTTCCCCCCGTTACACTCACATCCCTCCCACCCTTGCTTCTCAGCGCAGGTCACTTCCTCAGAGAGGCTGCCCGCCTGAGCCAGTCTGCAGAGCGAGAGCAGCTTGCCTGTGCACTGACACACAGGCCCTCACACCCTCTGAATGGAGCACCCATCGGGACTGTGGGCCTCGCAGGGCAGAGGCCTGGCTTTCCCCCTCTGCAGCTGCCACACGGGCCCGACCTGAGACACAGCAAACACGCAGTCCGAACAGGCGCCCCTCCTCCCTCTGGTCAGCTGCCTACCCTGACCCCTCCCTTCCCAACCTTTTGTAAACAAGGAAGTGAAACTGCACAGAGAAGGAAGATTTCTGCTTCATCCACCAGAGCAACCTGTCTGGCACCTCACAAAGCTCCAGGGAGCACCAACGCACTGCCAGGCCCCGGAGACACACATGCTGGGACCCCCGCCCACAGACTCTAGGCTGGTCTGGGATGCGAGTGGACGTCACTAACATTGGGCTGCCGTTTGCCACCAGGCGGGAAGCCCGGTTCTCTGCTGCAGGGCTCCTCAGAGCCTGGAAAGAGCCAGTGCTGCTCCGCGGAACCTTCCAGGAAGAGGTAAAGCAGCCAGCATTCCCCAAACCGGGGAAATGTCTGTGGAAAGCAGTTCCTCAGCCGTGGCATTACTGACAGTCTAGGCTGGGTAATTCTGCTGTGGGGGGGCTGTCCTGTGTGTTCTGGCATCCTGGCCTCTAACCATTAGATGCCAGTAGCCAGTTATACCCTCTCAAGTCAATAAAAACGTCTCTGCATTACCAAATGTCTGCTGAGGGCAGACCTCTCCCAGGTGGAAAACCATCAGCGTGAAGTTTGAGAGAGAGGGCCAGCACAGTCACATCCCTAACCAAGCTGGGAGGACCCTGAGACCCCGAGGGGCCGCAGGCCAGCGACCCGTTAGCATCCACGGCTGCACTGAGCCGACAGGGCCATGCTAGGACCACCCTTTCTCAGCTCATTCCCCAAACCACAAACAGCTGGCAAAAGCATCAGCGACGCCCTCTGCAGAAGGGAGCCCATCGCTGCAGTGAGCAGCTTGAGGCGACAGCTGAGTCAGCCGGCCACAGGCCAGGCGCCCCACACTCCACCCAAGCAGCGCGTCAGTCTCAGTACCTGTGCCACGCTGCCCTCTGTGTCACCCTGAGCTGCCGCTCCACACCCTTCCCTGGGCTTGTCAGCCTTAGGCAGCTCAGACTACTTCCTCTTTAGTGCTGGTGGCAGTTACTGCAACTACTTCCATCCCACAGAGGAGGAAGCAGAGAGCTTCCTAGGTGATTTGCCCGAGATCACACAGGGACCTGGCCAGAGTTCGGGTTTTCAATTGAGCCCCTCCCTCCAGACCCCCTTCCTCTGTGCTTCCTGATTTGAGGTCACGGCCTCCGTGTCCCCGAATGGAGAACAGAGGGATTCATGGGGCAGTGTTCAAACCTCCCAGCAGGCCCTGAAGTCCAGCTCCTGGGGCCAGTTCATGGCCTCTGGGTCCTGTTTCCAGTTTGTACACATTTATCAGTCCCAGCAGGGGGCCGGACATCAGGGTGTATTACAGAATCAAAAGCTCAGAAAACAGGTTGCAGGAAAGGCCAAGGCAGGTCACAGATCTAGGGGCTGGGGTCTTAGCAAAAAAAGTGTCAAAGACTGATTGGTCCAGAGCAAGCATGTCAAACTCAAAGGCTAACACGGGCCAATAAACGAGGCACGCGGCCCACGGGCCGCAAGTTTGACACGCTTGGTCCAGAGGGTAAGGGGGGCATGAGCTGGGGGTCCGTCGTAGGATCCGAGGGTCAGGGACTGGAAATCACAGACTAAGAGTTCTACAAGCAGGGTCAAAGAGCAAGGATCAGAGATCACAGAGGTCTCAGGTCACAGTTGTAAGTTTAAAGGTCAGGGGTCAGCCTCACCTGGTCCCCCTGGCGGGCAATGATGGTGCCGGCTTTGGCATGATGCAGCAAGACTCGGCTGTTCAGGAGGGAGGGGTCCTAAGGAGGGAGGGAGGGTGAGACTGGTCCAGCCAGGCCTCCCCCACCCTCCACTAGTCCCCCAGCCCGGGGCCAAGGCCACCCACCTCAATCCGCATCAACTTGGCCAGCTCCCGCTTTGCCGCCTCAAAGATGCTGCTGGTCTGGCGGCCCTGGTAGGGCCCGAAGGGGCAGCCCCCGGTGGCTGACTCGTCCTCACAGTAGCTGAACTCGCAGGCCCCTGCCGGCTGCTCCCGGGGCTCCTGAGTGGGAGTCTACATGGGGCAGGGCCTGTGACCTCCCTGCTCCCACCCCACTTTCCTCCTCGGGGGCCTCCCCCCAGGGAAGGGCAGAGGGCCGGCCTTACCCGCACGGGGACTACCTGGGGCCCCACTGAAGCCTCTTCTTGCAGAGACACGGAAATCCGGCCGCGTTCATACGCCATGTCGAAGTCCGAGCGGGGACCTCCATGCAAGCCTGCAGTGGGCAGGGGACAATAAAAGCAACGGAGACAAGACTGACCACCGCTGCAGTCCACGCCGGCGGTGCCCATGTGCCACTGCCAGCCCGTGCAGGTGTGGCTAACCAATGACTGCACGCCTCGGACCCTAGCCACGGCTGGGAGGGTCCGTCATCCCAATGAGCACCCGTGAAAATGTCAGCAGAAAGTGCTGCCGGGTTTCCTTTGGACAGATAAGGAAAATAAAGCCTGGCCAGCCTGCATTCCAACCCGGAAGCCCGATGCCTCCCCCGCCCGGCCCAGGCCCCAGACCTGAGGTGTCCACCGGCATGGAGATGCAGCGGCTCAGCAGGGGGGCCGAGGGCCCTTCCAGGGATGAGGGCTTCGCCAGGTCCCCTGAGGGAGACACGCGTTCAGGCTCCTACCACTGGGGTGGGAGCTGAAGGGGTGTGGGGGGCGGTCGCCTCAGCGTCCCGGGGACTAGGAGACTAGGAAGGGTGCTCCCAATGGGTCTAGGGAAGCACGTCAAGCTCAAAGGCTAACACGGGCCAAATAAACGAGGCATGCGGCCCGCAGGCTGAGAGTTTGACGTGCTTGGTCTACAGAGCTGAGGCCACAGCTCACGGGGGACCAGCCGGGAGTCAGAGCCGGGTCCCTACATGAGTCATCTCAGGTACCTGCAGGTCCAGGCAGAGGGGCCCCGGTGGGGTCAGGTGGCCGGCCAGGGGCCTCCCGAGGCTCCTCGGTTGCCGAGGTGCTGACAATGCGCTTGGAGCCTCGGACGGGGCTGGTGCGAGCTGGGAGGCCGGGGCTGGGGAAGAGGCGCAGGGGCTGGATCTCCTGGGGGCAGAGAGCACCGTTATGGCCAATCCTGGGAGGCATGTGCCCTCCACCCTTCCAACCCTCCCCCCCCAACCTCTCTGAGTGACTCACGTGGCTGAAGAGCTCATTGGTCAGACCCAGGTAGTTGTGGAGGGCCAGGAAGGTGACTCGCTGCAGCCTCACCATGATGATCTGCAGGGCCGTGGTCAGCAGGGCGGAGCCGGGAGAGGGCCAGGGCCAGGAAGCAAGTCAGACAGCAGAGGGGCCCAAGAAAGTTGAGAGGAAGCTTTAAGGGGTGGGGCCACACATGGGGACGGGGCTGGGTGGAGCCAAGACTAAAGTTGGGAGCACTGAGGGGAGAGCAGAGCCAGAGGGGCCAGGGAGGAACCCACAAGGAGGAGCAGAAGCCTGGGGAGATGGGTCAGACAGCTAATGGGAGAGTCGGCAGCACAGGGGTCTGGCTGCTCAGGGCGAAGAGCACAGCTTGAGGGACCCGGGTCCCGGCCCGCGGGGGCCTGTGGTGAGGAGGCGGGAGGCCGCTGACCTGCACCACCCGCACCAGGCTCTCCGGGTACTTGGTGAACACGGCAGAGAAGGCCTCCACCGGCAGCCGCAGCACCGTGGAGTCTCGGGCAGCACGGGCAGACACCGTGCGCTGGGGGTGCTGGTGACCCTGGGGGTGCAGGGGCACGAGGAGAATCGAGGTCAGCAGCTGAGTCCTCGCTGCTCCCCCACCAGCAGCATCGGGACATAGCAGAGACCGGGGCCGCCCCAAACTGGCCACTCACAGTGATGACATCCAGGATGCTCAGGAGGCTGTTGACACTGTCCCCAGGGCCCACTTCCTTCACCACACACTCCTTCCCATCCTGTCACACATGGTGGGGTCAGGGCGGTGACCAGGGTGCCAACCACAGCCCTGGCCCCCACACTCACCCACCGTGACCACTGGTGCCCCGGTCTCCGGCCCCACCGCACCTTCTGACCAGCACCCGTTTCTTGCCCATAACTAACTGCAACCCCTGACCACCCAGTACCCCGGGCATCTGCTCCCAGCTCCGGCCTGCACATCTCAGAAGACCACCAGCCCTGACCACCAGCAGTGCCTGTCCCATGGCCACTGCACCGTTGCCTGTCTCCCCGCGGGCAGCCCACTTACAGGCCCTGGCAGGCAGAGCTCCAGCAGCCCGTCCTGCACCACATAGATGCTGGCGTCTGGCTGGCCTGGCCGGAAGACGTAGTCGCCCTGGCTGAGCCGCTGGAAGATCATGTGCCGGCAGAGCTCCAGAAAGAGCGGCTTCTCGAAGTGGCCCAGCACCCTGTTGGATGGGGGAGGGGGGAGGCGGGCAGGTCAGACGGGCACCCAGCTCTGCAGCCCCGGCCTGCGCTCCGGCTCCGGCTCCGGCTCCGGCCCCGGCACTGACCGGACGTTCTTCAGCATGTAGAGCACCTCGGAGGGCAGGTGGGAGTTGGCCAGGTCGCCCTCGGTCAGGTCGGCCTCCAGCACGGCAGGCGGGGGCTCCTTCCGCTGCAGGGTGGGAGTCTCCTTCTGGATGCGGAGGATCCTGGGGGAGGAGAGCCATGGGGAGCAGGGAGCGGGGAGCAGGCACGGCAGACCTGAGATCCCCACCCACCCTTGCTCCTGAGTCACACAGAACAGGGATCAGCAAATTCTGGCCTACTGGCCAGACCAGGCCCTCGTTTCTTTTTTGCACATAAGGTTTTAGTGGCACATCGATACACTCATTCATTCACGTGCATGTTGTCTGTGGCTGTTTACACGCCACAACAGAGTGGAATGGTTATAGCAGAGTTGTATGTGGCTGCACAGCCGAAGATGTTTACTATCTGGCCCCGTACCGAAACCCCCTGAGTTCACCCCTCCTCTAGTCACAGGCCCTGGAAATGACCCTCTAGTTAGACCCCGGACATGGCTTCTAAGACTCGGGCAGACTTTAGAAAGAACACCTGTTCGTCATGGGACCCCTGACATGTCCTTCCAGCGCCACAGGCCAGACTCCTGAGATGGCCTCTAGTGGAGGCAGACCCCGGCGTAGCCTCCATTAGATGAGGAGACTTCGGATACAGCCGCTCTGTTCTTTATAAGGTCCCTGAGCTAATCCTTCCTCCGGGGCTCAGAGAACCCTGACACAGCGCTCGTGACCCGTGGAGAATCCAGGTAGCCTGCTTGCTATTCCTAGACCTGAGAGAGCCCTTCCCCACAAGTCGGTTACTCCTGTGACAGCCCCACACTGCTCACGAGATACCTGAGACAGACCCTCTGGTATGAGCAATTCCCCGAGTTAAACTCCACGATACAGAGAAATCCAGACAGAGCTCATCCGAACAGGGAGGCCGCGGGCTAGCCCTTCCCCAGGCCACAGATCCTGTGCTAGCCCTAGGATGGCCATGACAACATCAGGGTAGCTTTTCAAGGGTGTGCAGGCGCTGTGATGTGGAGCGCCTCGAGACACAGTGTCCAACATGGAGAACTAGAGACAGCCCTCTCAAGTCACAGACAGTCACGTGATAGGACATGTTGGTCATGGACAGCCCTGGGACAGCCCTCCACATCTCATGAAGTGGACTCCATGCTCTTAGGAGACCCTCGAGCCAGCTCCCAACTTAAAAAGATCCCTGGAAAAGCCTTCCTCAGAGGCCCCGAGGGCGTCCTTCGCTAATGACAGGCACCCTGAGACATCCCTCCTGTTTCTCCTGCAAGAAGACTCCTGAGGTAAGTCCCAGGGAACACAATCCCTGCCGGAGCCTCCTTGGTGTGGGAAGAGCTCCCAGGTAGGAGACATGGAGAGATGTTTTCTGATGTAGCAAGGCTGCTAAGACAACCTGGGAGAACAGAGGCTACAGGTAGCTCTCCCAGCTGGTCACAGAAACCCCTCAGCACACCCCTTGTGTGTGAGGAGACCCATGAAATAGCCTAAATAAAACCCCAGGTACAGACCCCCCACAAGGTGTCAGAGACACTGACTGAAGAGCAAACAGCTCACAGATAACCTCTAGGGAGGGGCGTCACTGGTAGGGGAATGTCTCTGAGATAGCCCCTAGGGGGCGGCCTGTCCGGTGTGAGGTGGAAGACCCAAGACAGCCCACCGGGTGGAAAGAAACTCGAGATACATGGGTTGATCCCTCAGATGGCCCCGAGGGAGCCCAGGGCCAGGCGCTCCGCACTGCCTTACTTCTTGGCAATGTTCAGCATCTTGAGTTTCTTCTTCATGCGAGGCCTGGAAGCGGTGGAGACGGAGGTGTCCACCAGGGAGGAAGTGGATTGTGACACCTAGCATAATCAAGGGGAAGAGCAGGTCAGCTGCTAGTTCAGGGTCAGCTGCTAGACCCTGGGGCAGAGGGGTTTCAGATGCAAGTCCTTAACCAAGGAGGAGGGCTTTACAGAGTTGTTAACTAAGGGCAGGGCCTCTGTGTGGTCAGCCGGAGCCTGTTGGTCCTAGACTCACCTTCCGCATAATCTTCCGGCCATAGAAAAGCACTTTGTCCCTCTTCCGGAACCGGTACCGCGGGCCGTCCGGGGCTGGGGTTTCTAGGATAAGGGGAGAGGGGCGCTCTGAGCTCTGCGCAGCGCCGCGCGGCCGGAAAGGGGACAGGCGTGCAGACCCTGCTGCCTCCGGAGCCCGGCATCTCAGCTCCCCACCACGCAGCCCCCCAGAGGGGCCCTCGGGTCCTCACTCGGCACTCGAAGCCTCCGCACTACCAGGAGAATGAGCACGGCGGTGACGAACACGGCGACTGCGGCCCCGATCATCACGCCCAGCACCTGCGGGACGAACGGCACGGGCTGCGCATCGCACACCCGCCCCGCCGAGCCCTCCCCGGGGGCCAGGACGTCCTGGACCCCATCCCATGGCGCTACGTCCACAGCCGAGAAGTTGCCAGCCGCCCCAGCCCTCTGCGTCTCCATCTGCAGAATGGGACAGCGCGACTCGCCCCCAGGGCGGGGGTAGGAGGCGGCGCAACTCTCCCCGGCGGCTCCGCCATCCGCGCGCGGTGCACGCTGGGAAGTATAGTTCCGCCTGAACACCCAGCCCGGTTCCAGCGGGACTGCGAGGACACGCGCTGAGCACGCCGGGAGTTGTAGTCCCCGCGGAGCCTCGCAACCTCCGAGCTCTCCTGCTTTACCATTCCTGCCTGCAGAGGGGCCTCCATCAGCTGTTTCTGGCCGGTCGACAGGTTCGGTAGCCCAGAGTCCTGGGAATCAAGACGCAGGAGGAACCCGTCCCTCTGGGCCCGCCCCTCCCCTGCCACAAGCCCTGCCCCTTCGTACCCGCAGCTCGGGGCGGGGAGAGCTGGAGGGCCGCCGGGAGCCCAGGGGTGGGGCTAGGGAGTGAGGCGTGCCTCCGGGCCGCCTGTCTCTCTGCACCTACGCACCAGTCCAACCCCGCCCTCGGCCAAAGGGCTGCCCCGGGCACCCTCTATCAGCAGCCAGCGCACGGGCTCCCCGAGGGCACGGCTCCTGCACGCCAGCCTCTACCCCTCGGGATTAATAAGTCCCGACTCCCCGCGAAAACGAGAGCCATAGCTAAGGGGTCGGGGAAGATGCCTGGCTCCTGGCCCAAGCCTGCCCCGCGGAAGACCCAGGGCTGGGGCGCGTGGGGTGCTGCGGGGAGCTCCCCACCCAAGGGGACCTGGAGGATGCCGAGGTCTGGGAAGGGTCCTGGGGCTCTCGGAGCGAGTGGCTCCTAAGATGTCGCTGGCCGGTGCTGGAGATTTACTGCAGCGAACTAAAGTTCCAGGGCCTCCGCCGGCCGGAGCACCGCTGGGACTCGCTGCCCGCGCCATCGCTGGGGCGCTGGGGCCGCGCACGGTGCGAAGTGAGAGCTTCTGAGGAGCACGGAGCTGTTCCTGGGGCAGCCGGAGCTGGTGGCTCCTTGGGAGATGCCAGGAATGGTGCAATAATGCCGGAACAGTCCTGGGCTTTCCGAGGGGCTGGGAATGCTTCTGGCTTCGGGAATTTAAAGTAATTGGACCTGGAACTCTCAGGGCGGGTGGCGGGTGGGACCAGTCCCCTTCCACTTTGGGAACCCCTGTCTGCCGGGCGGCCAGCGGGGAGTGAGCGCATCGGAAGGTCGGCCTCCAGGCGGCGGGCAGACCTCGGGAAAGCCGAGGGCCCGCTCACAACCCGAAGCGGGTGGCGGACACCGGATCGCCCGGCGGCCGGGGGGATGCACTCAGCGCTCACCGCCAGCCCCTCCGCCCAGCGCGGCCCTTTCCGCCTCCCGCCGCCGCGGCCCCGCCATGTTCGGAAGGTCGCGGGGGCTGCCATGCCGAGTGTGGCGACGCCCTAAAGGGGCTCTGGGAATGCGCCTCCCGCTAGAAATGCGAACAAAACGTGTATTTTCCCTTTTTATTTAACATCCAGCCTCCGCTTGTCCGGCCCATGGTCCATGCCTCCCCAGGGTGCGGGGAGCCAGTCCTTAAACGCAAACCCTAAAGCGCCGGCCAGGCCCCCGCAGCCCGTCAGTTCACCAGCAGCGGCCGCTCCTCCGAGGCGTCCCTGGGGGAGAGCAGTGTCAGCGGAGGCGGCGGCAGCCCCGCCGCAGCCTCCGGTTCCCGGTTCCCGGGGAGCGAACCTGCTCCTGCGGCCGCAGCAGCACAGGCTGCAGGCCGAGCCGCTCCCGCGGCGGAACTTGCCGGACGTGGGGCTGTCCTGGCACTGCGCGATGTAGGCCTGGAGTTCGCTGGGCTCCGTGCCCGTGGCGCCGGGGTGCTGCGGGGAGAGGCGCGGGCCAGCGTGAGAGGGGCCCCTCCAATCTGCCCTCCCCGCCATCAGGGTCTCTTTGCCGTTTCCAGTGGGCTCCCGCCTCTGGGTCCTCGTGTGTCAGGGTTGGACTCCAGGAAGACCTTCCCTGACTCCGGGGGGGGGGTGCGGGATGTGTGACCCCGCATCTGGGTCAGGTGGCGCCCATCTCCTCCTCGGGGCGCACACCGCAGCTTTCAGCGAGCCCAGCCTTTGCCCTCCACCTCGGGAAGGAGCCATCTGGCTACGCAGCCTTTGCGCCAGGTCCCCTTCCCGCTGGTGCGCCCTCACTGGGGATCCCACCTCTCAATCTGGAGCTTTAGGACGGGAAGGTTTGATTCTAGGATGTTCAATCTGGAAGCCACTTAGCCAATGGGCTCCTGGGCACTTGACATGTGGATGGTGTAGTGAGGAACTGAATTTTGGAACTGAACTTCATTTTCATTAAAATCAAAATTTAAATAGTCCCACGAGTTTAGAGACTCGTATTGAATGGCATATTTTAGAAACTGTCCTTCCTTCCTTCCTGGCTCTCACAGCCAGGGATCATACTTCCGCTCATGCTTTATCCGTCCTGCCCCCTGGCCATGCACAGACTGTGTACCCCTCACCTTGTTTCCTAGATGCCTGGCCCTGCAGGGCTTGGCTCACAATAGGCCCTTGGACACGATGGCTAAAAGAATCCTGCCTGCCCTGGCTGGTTTGGCTGGGGGATAGGGTTTGCCTTCGGACTGAGGGGTCCCAGGTTCGATTCTAGTCAAGGGGACATGCCCAGGTGGTGGGCTCTGTCCCCAGTGGGGGGCGTGCAGGAGGCGGCCAATCAGTGATTGTCATCATTGATGTTTCTATCTCTCTCCCTCTCCCCTTCCTCTCTGAAATCAATAAAAATATATTTTTAAGAATCCTGCCTACTTGCCACCTGCATATTCTGCTCTGACCCTTTTCTCTCCCCTAACCTCCACAGTCTGCAGCGCAACTACAGCTCCCCTGCCTGCCACCCCAGGCAGAGGGTTAGGAGCAAGGCGTCCTGGGTTGACTCACCTTGGTAAGTTGCTGAAACTCTACCACCTGGCATCCCTACTGAGAAAAGCCGCCTTGAGAACCCTACCTGGCCAGAGCTCACCTTGATAAACTGAGAATGTGGCAGGTTAGCCCGTGACATCGGTCCCACCTGGGACCCCTCAATTCCAGCCACCATTTCCTTTGGCTTTGCACTCTCCCACGTTCTCTCCCTGCGTCCTTCCCTCCTCAGCCCGCCCTGTCCTGAGACCCCGCTGTGGTGGCCTCCAAGGGACACGGAGCCCAGGCTGGAGCTGTGGGTGGTGCGGCTGGCCCCTGGGGAGGCGGGCGAGCTGGAGGGGTGCGGCTGACCTTGATGGCGTCGTAGGCGCCGGTGATGAGCGCGATGAACAGGCTCAGCACCATGTAGATGAAGAGGCTGATGAAGGAGTAAAGGTAGAGCTGGGAGAAGAGCCAGACCAGGCTGCTGTGGCCCTGCTGTGTCTGCATCGCCGCGAACGTCACGAACATGTCGTCCCCGTTGATGAGTGAGAACAGGCACTCCGACACCATGGACAGCGAGCGGAACTGTGGCCAGGAGTGAAGTCGGTGGGATTGGAGGGACGGAGGGGGCTGGGCGGGGGCACCGGAGTCAGAGGGGACAGCAGAGTACTAGTACATACAACAGGACCATCTGGGGATCACTGCGCAATGACAATGTCCTAGAGTCAAGGCTGGGGTTACTAGGGGTCGGAGGGACAGTGGGCAGAATATCAGCAATTACAATGGGGTCATTAAGAGTCATCATGTCAATAAGGCCAGAGTCAGGGGGCAGAACCGCTGCAGCCTCTTGGTCAAGTACAGAGGGTCACGCAGTGGCCAGGTCAGTGAGAGAGAAACCAGGGCTTGGAGGAAGAGCCAGAGAACTGTCACCTGTGGGCCCTGTGCACCCCCCCAGCCCTGGCGCGTCCTACCTTCACGTGGTAGGGCCCCAACACGATCCAGCCGCAGAAGCAATAGCCCAGGTAGATGACAGCCACACAGCAGCAGAAGCGCATGACGCTGGGCAGGGCCACCCGCAGCGTGGCGATGAGGATCTGCAGCGGGCGGATGGCGGATGAGGGCGTGGCCACAGGGCGCACGGGGAGCGGCGGAAGGGGGAGCCTGGAGCTGAGGGTGCCCTGAAACTGTACCCCGCTGAGGGGCAGGCTCACATGTCCCTGCGCAGATCAGTGACGGGAACGGCTGGGTGGACAGGCACAGGGCTAAAAGGCTCAGGACGGGCCTCTGCAGGGGCCGGTGACTGCCGTGGGTATGCATTTGGGAGGTGGACCTGGGGGGCATGTGGCTGCCAACGGAGGGAGGGCCGGCGCACACCCGCACAGGCTTACGTTGTACTTGTGGAAGAAGGTCAGGTAGCGGATGACCCCGACCCAGACGAGCAGCGTCGAGGTGCCCAGGAGGATGCTGCAGACATCGTAGCTGGCCAAGTTCTAGGGGTGGGAGCAGTGTCACCACCGGCTGGAGAATGTGGCCCAGGTGGGCTTCGGGGGGCAGCACAGGGGCCAAGGTCTGGAAGGGGCCGCCGGGGCCCCGGGCGAGGTGGGCAGGACCCACCTTAGCTTCAATGCCGATCTTCATGACGGTGCCCGAGACGGTGAGCACGTCACTGGTGACCAGCAGGATGTACCAGCCATTCACAAACTCCAGCCGCTCCCACAGGCTGATGGCCCGGCCCCGCTGCCGCCACATGAACCCCACGAACTCCTGCAGGAGGCGGGCGGGGTGAGGGCTTTCCCATGCATGGGAGCCCCGTGCCACCCACAGCTCTCATGGCCCCAGAACTGGGCAAGGCTGGCTGGGGCACACGTGCCGCTAGGATGGCTCTCACATTCTGCAGCAGGAAGCCACGGAGCAGGGAGCGGGCACACAGCAGAAAGGAGAGGGAGCAGGTGAGGATCACTACCACGTCGAACAGGAGCCGGAAGCTGTTGTCTCCTGTGGGGAGGGGCCTTGGGTAGAGCCGGGGTAGCTTGGGGCCTTCAGAGGCTGGGCCGGGCCAGGCCCAGGGGACTGTAGGGCTGGTTTGACCTGGTCGGCGGGCTCATGGCTGTTCTGAGTTAGAAGCTCAGTCAGTGAGGGTCTGGGGTTCAAGGGTTTTGAAATCCCTGGGCAGTTCAGGGCCCTTGGTCAACACTGGTCTGGGGTTAGATGGCTCACCGTGCCTGAAGACACTGGGGTGCTTACACTCCTGGATGTGGACCTGGGTCTCCAGGCTGATGGGGACACGTCCGCTGAAAGCCTTATTGTCAAACGTGATCTGTGGTGGGACACAGAGTGAGCCTGGGCAGGCCTGGGCTCCCAGACCTGCACGAAGGTGGTCTGTCTAGCTCCAGGTTCCCATCACCCA